AGACGTACGTCGATGCTACCTTATAAAATGATGAATACTAGCGTTTCTTAAAATAAAACGAAAGAATATGCCAGTCCGTCAGTGGCGAACTCATTGGCGTAATGACGTATGAAGTAGTCCAGGGCTGATACACAGCTAATTCATCCATCACTGCGTTATTGGCTCAATCCGTCATTGACGTTATTCCGCCAATCATCCCAGTGACGGATTAACGTAGTTACGTATAACATAATCCAGGGCTTATACACACCTTATTCATCCGTCAATGATTCCGTCACTCCGTCATTGGCGTCAGTCCGTCAATCATCCAAGTGACGGAGTGGCGAACTCATTGTCGGAGTGGCGAACTCATTGACGGAGTGGCGAACTCATTGACGGAGTGGCAAACTCATTGACGGAGTGGCGAACTCATTGACGGAGTGACGAACTCATTGACGGAGTGACGAACTCACTGACGGAGTGACGTATGAGGTAGCCCTAGACAGGGGAAAACATTTCATCCGTCATTCGTCGATGCTACCTTACAAAATTACAGGGCTCTATGTAGGGCGCTTCTTCATGCGTCGCTCCGGCATTGGTGTCAATGGATCCATCATTCCCGTCAGTCCATCATTGGCTTAATCCGTCATTTGCGTCAGTTCGTCAATCATCCAAGTGACGGAGTGGTGAACTCATTGACGGAGTGGCGAACTCATTGACGGAGTGACGAACTCATTGACGGAGTGACGAACTCACTGACATACTGACGTATGAGGTAGCCCTTAGACATACACGCCTTATTCATCCGTCACTCCGTCAATGAATCGGTAGCTCTGTCATTCATTGCCATTGGCTTAATCCGTCATTTGCGTCAGTTCGTCAATCATCCAAGTGACGAAGTGGCGAACTCATTAACGGAGTGGCGAACTCATTGACGGAGTGACGAACTCATTGACGGAGTGACGAACTCAATGACGTACTGACGTATGAGGTAGCCCTGACTCCTTCTGGGTCCTCCAGTCTCACAAGGGTGTCTTGGATAAACTACCGAGCTGTTGTCTTCTCTCGTATGACTGTGTGATAGACAAGACTTGTGTTACTGAGGATAGGTAGGAAGTAGACAAGTCTTATGTTACTAAGAATAAGTAGGAAGTAGACAAGTCTTATGTTACTAAGAATAAGTAGGAAGTAGAAAAGTCTTGTGTTACTAAGAATAAGAAGGAAGTAGACTAGTATCGTGTTACTAAGAATAAGTAGGAAATAGACAAGTCTTGTGTTACTAAGAATAAGTAGGGAGTAGACAAGACTTGTGTTACTGAGGATAGGTGGGAAATAGACAAGTCTTGTGTTACTAAGAATAAGTAGGAAGTAGACAAGTCTTGTGTTACTAAGAATACGTAGGAAGTAGACAAGACTTGTGTTACTAAGAATAAGTAGGAAGTAGACAAGTCTTGTGTTACTAAGAATAAGTAGGAAGTAGACAAGACTTGTGTTACTGAGGATAGGTGGGAAATAGACAAGTTTTGTGTTACTAAGAATAAGTAGGAAATAGACAAGTCTTGTGTTACTAAGAATAAGTTGGAAGTAGACAAGACTTGTGTTACTAAGAATAAGTAGGAAGTAGACAAGTCTTGTGTTACTAAGAATAAGTAGGAAGTAAACAAGTCTTGTGTTACTAAGAATAAGTAGGAAGTAAACAAGTCTTGTGTTACTAAGAATAAGTAGGAAGTAGACATGTCTTGGGTTACTAAGAATAAGTAGAAAGTAGACACGTCTTGTGTTTCTAAGAA